ATTTGGTGCTAGAAATTTCAGCAGGGAAGGCACTCAGAACTTGCAGTCTGCTAGCTTGCCATCCTTATTTTTCATGTTTGGGAGGGTTTTGTGGCGATGATGAAGCTAGATTAGAGGCTGTTCTGATACCATGTTGTTTTAATGATTCTGTGTATTGAATTTATCAGATCATATTGATCACAAATATATAACCGAGGTTACAAGAGTTATAATCTAATTAGATAAGTAAGAATCATCCTAAATTGAGTCTTCTAAGAAATTAAGATATTTACAATGATCTTTCCAGATATAGATCCTCCTTAATTAGTTACCATAGTTTAGGAAATAAATATCCTATAATTTAGGAAGTACATCTGATCAGGGACCAACTGATTTAGGAATTCTACACTATATGATAAGACTTTAGGCCATATTCCCCTTGCTACCTTATGAGCAATATGAAAAGAAAGAAACAGAAGGGTTTTTGAAGGAATAGAATTTATTTGTAATAAATTTAAGAACTTACGGTTCCAGACTCTGACTTTTTGAGTGAGGTCATTCTCTTCATACATATGAGGATTTCCGAGACCTTATTGATATTTCGACATATTTGAAAAAATATTGTATATAATTGGTGTTATATAGACTCTAGTTTATTTAAAAAAATTACCTATTTAAGAATAAGGAGTAAAACTTAGATATCACACGTAAGATATCACAGGTAATTTTTAAATATGACATTTTTCGCGCAACAAGAAAGATTGAGCAGAATTCTAGTACCTTTTATTGAATAATTAATCTTCTCATAATTGACATTACATAAAGTATATATAGTGCTTCTTGATTAATCTTTCTCAAATAGAATTAGCTTGAGAAATAGTTACTAATAAAAAATAGAAAAACTAATCATAATGAATTTAGGAAACTATAACTAAAATTCTAAATAATTAAATACTAAAAATAAATAAAAATAACTTTTTAAGTAACTTTTTAATAGCAAATGGATGATGGGTTTTTCTCAGGTACAGATAATTTGGCATGATTTTTGGGGTCAGCATATGATGTGTTTTTGACGTTGGAATCCGAGATAGCCCATCCAGCTCCTTGAAGAGGGCAATGATGGGCTTCCACAATGGAGAGCCTCATAACTAGCATAATCCATCTTTCTTCACTGTCCGCTAGAGTCACCTTTACATCCTGATCATATCTTTGATGTTAGAGGCTCGCCATAGGTGGATTGGTTATAAATCAAGTTCCTTTCGTCCATTTGTTTTTTCTATTTGCAAAGAGCACTCCGGGTCATGGAATCTGGGCTTCTTGGCTTGACTGAATTCACTTACTCTCCAATAATGGTCGTTATTGTGCTGATTTCTAATTTGTATTTCTTTCCATGTATATCAGTTGGTTGCAGTTCGTGTGATTCCTTGGGCAAAGGCCAACATTAACCACACTGGGCAAGCACTTATTGTATCTGCAGGTATAAAGAGGCTGAAATTTGTGTATTTATAAAATAGTTTGTTCGGAGTTAATGTTCTACGCAAGGCATTACTGGTCAATGAGTCTGATCTCGCAATCTCATAACGACAATGTAATTTTACTGTCTGAACTTCTATTATTAATGGACTGACATTTTGAATCCTCCTAAAAGAAGGGAAAAAAAACCTGCACATCTTGCAATAAGTTCATTGTTCTGTATGCCCACTGATAGCATTGAATTTCGTGGCGATATACTTCCATGAGAATATGCTGGAACATGAAAATTTTGACATTATCTTCCTCTGTTTGGTTAACAGCCTCAATTGCTGCTTTCTTCATCGCTGCCGATAAAAACATACTGCAGACTGCAAAAACAAAAACTGAGACGAAGTTAAAAGAAGCAGCTTGATGTTCGAGAACTAATGCTACCCAACTTTTTTCCTGCGGTAAGAACATCATGTCACCTTTTCTTGTGCATGATGATTATCGGTCTGTATCATGAATGTTTCTGCTTTGACATACTGAATCAAATTTTCGCATCTTGCTGAGGAGATGATGCCTCTGTGAGTTTCTCATGACAATGTAATTCAAAACTCACTTTTCAATTTCCATTGCGCCCATGGACAATTTTACCTGCATGATTGGAAGAGTTTCTTAAAGAATTCCATAAAAATTTATAAAAATGATACACTTTGCCCCAATTAACTAACAAATTAATAATTATGAGTTGAAGCAGTACTAATTTGGAGTTTAATTCAACTTCAAATGAATTTATAGTTGAAACTAAGCATTTCAGGTTTGATAGAGTTCGAAATATTTTATTTGGTTCTCTTAGAATTTATTTCTAAACAAGTTTTTACCATGTCATATTTGAATCAAGTATACATTTTCAAATGAATGTTAGAAAGATATTGTAGCAATTCATTTTCCTCTTGGCATGTAACTTAATTTCAGCCCTTCTATGGTTGGTATTTGTAAACTTAATTTCAGCCCTTCTATGGGTGGTGGTAGTTATTTTTTGGGGAATGAAATTTTCCTTGCCCTGAAATGGCTGTGCTAACAACACGAGTCATGGAAGCTCTGAGAGGAGAAACTTTAGTAACTTCTAACTTTTTCACCAGAGCATCTAGTGCATAATGCTCTACTTGTAGAGTTTGGCAATGAGCCCTGCTTTCTATCTGATTTATATATATAATGTATGTATATAAATCGTAGACTTATTCTTTCATTGTAGGTAATCAGGTGAAGAAAATTATTTTGTACAACAGGTATATTCTAATGTTATATTTTTTTTTTCCAAAAAGATTGTTAGTGTGCTTCATAAAATGGGGAATATTCTAGTAATTTCTTTTTAATAAGTGGAAGAACTTTTATCTCCCTTTGTTATGTTCATTGGGTTTGAAAAATAGCAATACCCTTTCGTTTGGATATGTAGAATTAGGAATGAAATTCAAATAATTAGAATAAAACTAATAGAATTTGACTTCTTGTATCCTACATGAAATTTTTATATAATGTCAATTTTTTAATTTTTTATTATTTTAGAGATCATGATTTTCTAGTTGAATAATGCTTGAATTTAAAATTTATTTAAAATTTAGCATTATGCGTGATTATACAATATTTAGACATCAGGTAATTGAATTCAACTGCTCAATTTTACAAACTTAAATTTGATACAAATGATATAAATAATAGAAAATAACATATTATTTTTCAGAGTCTTGTATAAAATATATTATCTTCTGTAAATCTGAAAAATATTCAATAAAATTACTGTATGATATAAAAATTTTATATAAAGTAAATTTATAACATGCATATACATATAGTATATAATTATTTATTTCTTTAAAAATCTTGGTTTGTAGTTCAATCACGGTTAACTGCAGTTTTTCTAAAAGCGGAAACCGATGTCAAACCATTACATTAATTGAATTTTCAGATCATGACACAAATTAGCCGAAAGAACCTGTTAAATTCTTAAGAGAACACAACAACATACCTTATATCATTCGGGAACAAAATTATCTCTGTGGACAATGTGAAAAACGCACATCTCAGGCTTCCTGTCCACTCTATTCGTTACATTAAATTATGTATGAGAAAGTCCTGACTAATATATAATACATTGAAATATAGAAGAAAAACTGTCATGATTGTGAGATCAGCATGGTTAACATGACAATAGGTTGTCCAAACACTAAGTTTTCTAATGTGTGGTTAAAGAGCCAAATGCCAACTTCAGAAACTCTTTTATTGCTAACTTACAGAGTCATTCAACGCAGTGATTAGAGAAACCATTATGCTAAGTTGAAAGCATTGAGCCGATGGGAAAAGTTCTTTGTATCTCCTCCTTCGCAATTCCTAGAGACAGAAATTGGCATCGTCAATTAGATCTTGTTAATTCCAGGGGAAAAGATGTTTAAAATAGTAAGTTGGACTGTCAAAATTCTATATATTCAGAGTTCGTGTAACCGGATAGATACTTAAGGCTTCACAGGAAGTTTAACAGTGGTAAAATAAACTAGCATATTTCCTTCTAGAGGCCTGTAAAATTCAGGATCATGCCAATCACATACTCACCAATAGGAAGGATGGCAGGCCATTGCCAAAACATGACGTATACTTGTTTGGAGAGCAGGAGGAAATTAGGGTCATCTTTCTCTGCTAATCCCACAAATAAGCAACCATCTTCTCCCCAACTTCTACACCATTTCTCTCATTTCCTGATGGATGAACTTGTTACCAATAGTCATTACAAGAACATTTCCCATTTTCAAAATGATGAAAGCGACTACGATCTCTGACAATAATCTCTCTGTGAACAATTTTTGAAATTATTTTTATTGCACCATGACAGTCATCACAAATTCGTAAGTTCTTGACAATCCGAATTGTGGTCCCTTCTCTAGTTGAAATTAGTCCAAATGCAATTGCCAGCTTCTCACTGTGAGTAAATAAAGCATCTTCCTTCTCTTCCTCGTCTACATTATGAATTACAAGGTCAGTTTTTGGTTTATATCCAGCAAGTTTTAATTTTTGTTGTAATTCCCTTATCATTGAACTTATTTTCTCTGATTGAGGATGTGATAGGTCCCCCATAAAGAACTCATGAACCATGTTGTCCACCTCAATCCAACTGCACCCAGGCATCTTCGTCACACCACTATCCCGCATTCTCAGCCTACATTTCACGGCATCATCCAACCTACCCGTGGAAGCATACAGATTAGCAAGATAAATATAACTTCCTGAGTGATCAGAATCTAGTTCAAGAATCTGCTGAACAACATTCTCTCCCCTGTCACTATCCTTGTAGATTCGGCAACCTCCAAGCAATGCACCCCAAACTTTAACATTTGGCTTCACAGGCATCGAACTAATCAAGTTTTCTGCCTCATCAAGGCGACCAGCACGACTTAGAAGATCAACTACACACCCATAATGCTCAACCTTGGGAGTGATCCCATAAACCTTATCCATCATATCAAAATGCTTGAGCCCACGATCAACCAAACCAGCATGAGTGCAAGCTGTTAACAATCCCATAAAAGTCACATCAGTAGGCTTCGCCCCACAACCAATCATTTCACAAAAGAATCCAAAGGCTTCATTTGCACGTCCATGCATGGCCAATCCGGTTATAATGATAGTCCAAGATATTGCATCTCTCTTTTTCATTGCATCAAAAACGAGCATAGCTTCCCTTATGCATCCACACTTCGCATACATATCAGCCAACGCATTCCCCAAGAACAAACTTAGCTCCATCGCGCTCCCTCTAATAAATCTATGAATCCACTTCCCTAAATCAAGCGCACCAAGATGCGCGCAAGCTGACAACACACTAACCAACGTAGCATCATTAGACCTCATGCCACCAATTTCCTGCATTTTCCGAAACAACTCGATAGCGTCTCCGTACCTCTCATTCTGCGTATACCCAGCAATCATAGCGTTCCAACAGACCACATTCCTATTCGTCATTTCATCGAACAGCCGCTTGGCATCCTCCACCTTACCAACTCTCGCATATCCACTGATCATCGTCGACCACGTGACCAAACTCTTCTCAACCATCCCATTAAACACCTTCCTAGCCTTATCCACATCCCCATTCGTGCAAAGGCCAGAAACCAACGTATTCCACGATACAACATCTCTCGTAGGCATGTCATCGAACAGTTTCTGCGCTACCCAGAAGTAACCCAGTTTAAAATACATATCAATCAGCGAGTTCTTGACAAAAAGATTAGATTCAAATCCATTTTTTATCAAAAAGCAGTGAATTTTCTGTCCATCTGCCACGTTAGCAAGCCCAGCGCAAGCCTTGAGCACAGAAGTGAAGGTGTACTCGTCTGGGTACGGCGCATTTGATGATAGTAAGAGTTGGTTGAAGTAGAAAAGTGCGCTATACCATTCGCTGTTGTGGGCAAAAGATTTAAGAAGAGCATTGTAAGCAAAGATATTCGGGCTGGTGAGATGGCGGGTGAAGATTTGCACACAGTATGAGACATTACCGCGGGCTGAGCAAATTCCGATGAGCTTGACGGCGATGAGGTTAGGATCAAGGCAAAGGAATGGAGATGACAGGGCTTGGGCTTGGACTTGGACAACATGGTGAATGGTGAGCTGAGCGGCGCATTTTAGCAAGAGGTGAGTGAATCTCTGGTGAGTGGTTGTTGAGGAGTGGAGAAGAGCCAGGATTCGTGTGGAGCTGCGTTCAGGCAACTCGGTTCAGTTGACTCACTGAGGGACTCTGATATTCTCGATTGTATATTATTAATTCTTGTTTATAAATTATATAATATCAAAACTTGATTTTTCAGTAATTATTGAAATTTTTATTCAAATTAAAAATTTTAATTTTAACTTTTATTTAATGTTAAAAATATATATTATATGTAATTTAAAAAAAATAAATGTTATTAGTTAATATATTATTAAATTACTTATATATTTTTATGCTGTTTATTTGATTTGATTTTTATGCCCTTCACCAGTTATTTGAACATTTATTTTATCTATGCAAAAATTATAATTACGTGTAAAATTTTGTCCTCATTGTTTTTGTTACTATGTGAAGTTATATAAGTATTTATTAGAATTAATATTTGTTTAATTATTTAAATTGATTTTTTCATTGTCTATCATTCTAATAGAGAAAATCATTGAAATTATTTTTAAAAATCTTTTTGAACTTTATAAGAGATAAGGAAATATCTCTTGTGATAATATTTTTAGTGTTCGAAAATATTTGTATTAGCAAGTAAGTATTAGATTAAACTGTGATTTTACATTTTTTAAAATAGCGAGAAAAAAAATTCTCAAATAAATTATTTGAGTAGAGAATGTAGACACAATATTAATATTTGAATCTCTATAAATCAAATTTAGGATTTCTGTTTTTTTTTGTTTTCCTAATATCTTTAATTCATCCATCTTATTTAGCTACATATTATGAATTCATTTTAGTTTTCATAATTAATTTACTTTTGGGTGTTTGTTTTCTTATTTTAAATAGTTTAAATTTGAAACCCAATTCCCCCATCAATTGGATTATCATAAACACTTGAGCTCACAATAATATTTTAATTTATGTAACATTATTTCTTATTTATATGAGATGACGTGTATTAAATTTATTATTATTAAATTATACATTGCTTATGATATATCTAATAACAAAATATTTAATAATGTTAACCCGTATGACAATATTAACCAAGATGAAATATGAGTAATTTTAGTTTTTTTTTTAATGGTTAAATTATTTTAGATAATCTACTTAGTGCACTAAGTAGATTTTAACTCTACAAGTAAGATGTGTCTTTTTATTAATTAATTCATACTCAAAATTATTCAATTATGAATAATTATTTATATTCAAAAATTCTCACAAGCATCTTATAAAATTTCATTTGGAGTATGTTGAATAATTTTTATCAATTATGTCATTTTATTGATTTTCGATAAACAACGAGTTAATAAATCTTTTTTTTTTGTTATTATTAATTTTTATAAAAGAATTCGCTATAGCACTTATAATGTTTAACTTTACAAATATCTAATTGTGATCGAAATGTGTGCGTAGCATTGGTACGAAAAAACACCAATTCATTGTTTTTTGGTGTACCAATAGTGTCTTCACCTTTAACTCGTTGAAAAATACATGAATGCATGTAATAAGTTTTAGATATTCAACAATCTTTATAAAAAAAATAATCACAAAAGTCTAAGCATTTAGCTATCCAACCATAAAGTAGACGGACCATTATTCCTCTTATATAAAGATAATTAAGCATTGTTTTTATTTTGGTAGCAACTTCAATGAATCATACACCAATTCTCATTCTCTAAAAATAAAAAATAAAAAGGAGTTGTCCACTATATATCCTTATATTTAATTTTAAAGAAAAATTAAAATATTACAACAAATCTAAAATAATTTTACGGATAACTGATGAAATAATTGTTTTTCAAAGATAAATTGTGCAAATATTATATATTATAATTAAATAAAAATAAAATTATCTAAATATTTAATTACAATTGATTTTCAACTTCATTAAAATAAATCGTACAAATTGAATTAAAATATATGTTATATTATTAATTTCTAAGATTATTTTACGATTCATGATAAACTATAATTCACTCGTAAAATTTGAATTTTTTTGTTGATGAATTGAATTAAACTTTAAAATTTATTAAATTCGAATTGTGAATTGCAAAATTCTAACCAGAGAAGGTTTTATTATCTTTAATAATAGATAATTTTATAATTTTTATCTTGTCAAATAATATATATAATAAATTTTTATTGACGTAATAATTAATTTGAATTTCACAAGAGAATATTCGCATAAAATTTAAAATTAAAATCTGATTTAAAAAATAATATTTTAATAACTCCTCATTTTCAAGCACCAACAGGGAAAACAGCGGTCTATGTCCCGTATCCTTCGTTGGCACCGCCTTCACTAAAAATTCACCGGCCAAACGCCTCTGCACAAAATTTAAATCTCGTTTTCTCCATTACCGAGTTTTCTACATGCTCCCTCGCGTCTCCCCTCTCATCCGCACTATACAAATCTCCTACTGTCTCCCGGCGCGTAAAATGACGCGCGCCGCTCCTCTTCCCCTGGCTCTCCCGGAAATCTCTGCATTCTCCGTTCACCATTCCTCGCAGCTAGTGATTATTGGAAAATCGAATCATTCCGAGTATAGTTCTCTGTCCAATTCCTCGCTGTTTACTCGGAGATTTCACGCTTTGTGCAGAGGAGATGAGAAGCTTTTAAAGGCAAGAAGTGGAACGGTTTTCGCGTCAAATAGGGAGTACAGAAAGCTGAGGAGGAAACCTGTTAAGAAGAAGGAGAAGGAGTTGGAGCTAAATGTTAGTATTTGCATTGAAGAAGAGTTGCCTGATGATACTGAAATCTTGGTAATCTATTTATTCACTCAGTACGAAACATGTGCGTAAATGTTTGTGGACATTTTTAAATCTTGTTCTCTTATTTTTGTTTATCTCTTACGGATGTTCTTTTTTTTGGTTGTAAACAAGTACGGGAAAGAAAACTGTTGAATACTTATTTTCTTGTTTTTCTTTACTGGTGTGCCGTACAAGATAATCTGAATGTCTGCCCTGCCAAGTTTGATTATGCTGTTAGCAGTTGTTTAATACTGTTTCCGTCAGCATAAAATATTTGGAGTTAGATAAGCTATAATGTATGAGGAATTGGAGCTTCGGATTAAAGTCTGAGTTTCCATCTTCATCATGTTTCTAATTGCTTCCACAGCCTTCAAGCTTAAATTAATCCTTCTTCACCATTAGATGAAAACCAATTAATTACTCTATTCATTTTCTTCTTTGTCGGCCCTGGAGAGAGACAAGGATACGATGTTGTGTGAGATGATTGAATGTTTTTGTTCTGATTAAATGGACTCTTTCTACTCTCTATTTGACCTGATTGTAGAGCATCGCGGAAATGCTTCGTCTAAATGTACCCATGGCAATGAAGTTAGGTTTTGAACGTTTACACAATTCACAGCATGAGACAAGAGAAACTGCCATTCAAGATGTTGGTGGATTTCAGAGTGTCGAGTTGTCTGTGCTTCTTTGCAATGATGAGTTCATTCGCAAGCTTAATAAGGAATGGAGAGATGAGGACCATGCGACTGATGTTCTTTCCATGTCACAGCATGTCCCCGAACTTAAGCTTCCTATTGTAAGATACATGTCTAGAGATTTGAGAAAGTTTTTGATTGGATTTCTCTCGAAAAAGCATGTCTACAGATGATGATTGATTTTTGTTACAGCAATTGACAGCTTTCATTTCTGCAGCTAATGTTAGGTGACATAGTAATTTCTGTTGAGACAGCTGCAAAGCAAGCTGAGGAAAGGGGACACACACTTCTTGATGAAATACGCATCCTTATGGTTGGTTAATATTATGATAACCTTTGATTTCTTCCAATGACTTCATTTAGCTTCGAGTATTGGCTCTTTCATACATGAATGATGATGGCACACTTGCATTTTTAATTTGCAATTTTAATTTATAGTATTTTTCTTTAGTAGTAATAGGATCTACTTATTTCTTTCTAGTGATGTGATAATTTACTTAATTTTTTTCTGTTGGTGTTGGGATTTGTTTATGAATTAGATTTTTAATTTAGGATTTATTTTATATAAAAGAAGAAAAAGCCCTATGAAATAAATCAGTCTATCATGAAGTAAATATCTTATCATATTAATTAAGAGTATTCTTTTATAACATGTATAGAATGTTAAAATTATATTCAGCTGGGCAGAAACTCAACTCGAGATAGGTCAAAGCGCTCAACCCATTGCAACTGTAGCACAAATCTATTAAGCTGCTTTTTTACGTGGAAGGATACTTGAAATACCCAGCTTCTAGGAAAATTGCTATAGGAATTAAACTAAGCTTCTTATTGTTGTTGGTGTGAGTTGCATGAATGTCATGTCAACTTCTTGTTATGGACTTGGTTTGAGATCTTGTCACGGGACCACTCACTACAAAAGTCTTCCAACAAGTGAGATGCTTGTTTGTTAAAATTTTGTTCCTGTTTGCCCTATGTTAGTAAACAACAGCTTATTTGGTAGACCCCTTAATCTATTGAAACTGTTATCAATTAATATTAGTTCTCTTCATATTAGAATGACTACGTAGAAAGGAGGTTGCAGAACCAATGTCCTATTTTCTAGGATATATGAATAACTACATATGAAGGAGCTGTAGAACCAGTTCTTTCTTTTCTTCTACAATCAATCATGTTGACTATATCTTATTTAATGCAAACATTGCCTAATTAAACTGAAATTCTTATCTTATTGAAAACTAAATCTGAACCTAACGTGGAATCCTATAAAGAAGATCACCCATCATATAACGCGCTTCTCTTTCCTGCTTACCTGA